AGAGGTGACGGTGGAGGAAAAATATGTCAGATATTGAACATGTTTAACATGACCTCCTATCTCATTCCCTAGGGGAAAGTGAACATTTAACTTTTCCCATTAAACATCAGATATTGTGTTCTTCAGGATGCATGGTTCTGCATTTTGGTAGTAATAGTTTTTTCTTTGGAAGAAAAAAGACCTAAATTTGTTAAGATTATTTTTGTGAGAAAGAAATTATAATTTAAACAGAGAACTGACTCTTACTATTTCTGTATGGAGAAAAAGAACCCCAAAAGTTTAGGATAAACATTTTGTAGTTGTGAATCTTGTGTTCTTGTGAGTGATGCATATCAGAGAATTACGTGATGAACTTACTGGTTTTCAGGCAAGTGTATGAAAATTGTAGTTCATGATAAACAAAAAGTTGCCGTAAAGCTCCCAACCAATGGACACTCACAAAGGAAAGACAAGATTCAAGCATTTCCAGGCACTGAATGGAGGAAGAGTTCTTTAAGAATTTCATTCAGGGAAACGAGCAGAAATTGCTGCTGCGGTAAAGTTTAACAATGGGTAGATCAGGGGTTGTTGTTGGGAAGGGATACAAAAAAGTTTATTATTAAAAAATTATTAAGAGACGAATTTTGAATAAAAATCTTTCAGGTCTATATATATTATCCTAGTTCTCTACAATTTGGCATGTAATGTGGTTATTTTAATCAGTTCGGTTATATGGAGTACATGTGATCTGATTACTTGAATTTGTACAACCAGATGCTTCTAAGTAAAAGTAATAATTTTGCTTTTTTCTTTTTTTTTTTGGAGTATAGTCTTATGTTTGTACAAACTTTCCTAGCACTGATTGGAATTCAGTTATAAATATGCTATTGCTTAAGTTTTTGTATTCATCAATTATACTGCATCATGTAGTCATCTGTTCCTCCAGAAGATAGATTTCTTCTTCTGCATCTTACTTTATTGAGCTTTAATCACCTGCCTAAGTGAAACCAGTCACTCTTTTATGGCAGCATGACGTAAATGCTCATAATATATATTAGGCCTTGAATCGCATTCTGCATTGCAGCTAACTAACTGTCATTTAAAAAGTGTGGTTTCAGATTCAAACTTTTGTCATGTTTTCATCAAGGTGATAGCATCATAATTATTTCATTACTTGCAATAGCTTTCAAGATAAATTCTGTGACCTTTGTGTTTGTTGTTATCTACTATTAACAAAGCTGCCACCATAAACTGTTGATCACGAACATGGAATGATTCACCAACTTGGCTTTCATCATTGGTATCATCTTTGCTTGCATATAAAGAACTAAGTCACGCCCAGGTCCTGCCAATATTCTCTCTTTAGCCTGGAAAAATGGCCAAGGATATAAGCTTCAAAGGTAAAGTATGTGTAACAGGTGCTTCTGGCTTCATTGCTTCTTGGTTAATAAAGCGACTACTTGAATCGGGGTATCATGTTACGGGAACAGTCAGAAATCCAGGTCCCGTCATCTCTTTCTTTTGTTGTAATTTACTTTTCTAAAGAGCTATAATTTCTTAGCTATCAACATCATCAGCTTTTTAGGCAGTGGCTGCTGGTACACGAAGCTTTATATGAGTTTAGATTTGTGAAGCTGTCTTCTGTTGTATATGTAAATTTGTAGTTTGATTGGATAAATTCATGTTTTATTTAATAGGAGATTACAAGAAAGTAGCACACTTGTGGGAGTTGGAAGGAGCGTCAGAGAGGCTTCAGTTAGTGAAAGCTGATCTGATGGAGATGGGTAGCTTTGATGATGCTGTAATGGGTTGTGAGGGAGTCTTCCATACGGCTTCTCCTGTCTGTGAAGTGAAATCGAATCCCGATGCTGTAATGGGTTGTGAGGGAGTCTTCCATACGGCTTCTCCTGTCTGTGAAGTGAAATCGAATCCCAAGGTACTACATAATTACCTATCCAGTGTTTCTATATGTGTATATTTATCACATTCTACATGCTTGATATATCACATTCTAGTTTTCTAGATGCTGAAAGCTTCAAGCTTTAGTAAATGATCAGTGAGAAAACCTAGTTTTACTTGGTTAAAACTATTGATAAATTAATGCTAAGATGAGAATAAAGCATTCTAAAGTGCTTTGCATAGTACCTTGCAAGATCCACAAGGACCAGATATTGTCATGAATGCATCTTAATGTAGCATAATTTTTGCAGGCTGAGATCGTTGATCCGGCAGTTAATGGTACTCTAAATGTGTTGCTATCTTGCGAGAAAAATCCAGCACTTAGAAGGGTTGTTCTCACGTCATCCTCTTGTGCAGTAAGGACGAGAGACGATATTGACCCGGCAGTTCCATTGGATGAATCATCTTGGGGCTCTGTGGAACTTTGTGAGAGGCTTGGGGTAAGTCATCAGTTACTTATAGTTATCAGTTATCACTTGCAATGAACGATGAGAACCACTTATACTTGTCATTTTAATATTTAATCAGGACTTCTGCTATACATAATTAACATGTTTCGTACAGAGCCAGATTTTTGTCAATTGATACAAGCAGTGTGTATTTGGAAGTTTTTAACTTTCTTTTAGTCTCAATTTTGTTTCATATGAGTAGGTTTAGAAGAGGTATTTGTGCTGATAATCTCTGTTTTTGGAAAATAATTTGACATCTCTCTGTTTTTTTTACTGCAAAGATATGGTATGCCCTGGGCAAAATACTAGCAGAGAAGGCAGCATGGGAATTTGCCGAGGCACACAACATCAACCTTGTTACTGTTCTTCCTTCATTTGTTGTTGGTCCTATGTTGCCTCATGACTTGTGCCTAACTGTGTCTGATGTCCTTGATTTACTTAAAGGTAATTTTGATTTCACTTATATGGTAAAACATAGTTCTTTTGTGATAAACCTAAATAGCCATAAAAATTTCCACATGTACATTTTCTGAAAGGTTCAATAGTATAGAAGGTTATAGATAAAACAGTAGCTGTCCAGGAAATTGTAATTGTCCTAGTTTTTTCTCTTGTGATTAAGGTATTATATAGCCAGGTAACCTAGAGAACTCATTCCAATCGAGTCTTAGGCACATCTCTACATGTCTCTCAAAAAACACATGCCACAACAACTCATCTTTCCTTACCCCTACTGCTTACATTCTTTATATATATATTCTTCGTCATATTATTATTATTATTCGTAGAACTATTGGCTGCCTTTTGTTAAGAGCATGAAGCACTTTTACTGACTTGGTTTGTGGCCTGTTTGGTTGGTAAATAAGTGAGAAAACGGAGTCATAGGAAAGGGTTTCCTATGACACTTCTCCTACTTTTTGTTTGGTTGCATAAAAGGAAAAGAGAAAACGTTGTTATGTGGGACCTATGTCATAGAAATAACAACAGTGTGAAGTACATACAAAAGTGGGAAACTCATTTCATCATGATAACTAGGAAATGGGTTTAAAACAAGAAAAATGGGCCAATAAAATTTGAGCCAAACCAGATCATAGATAGGCAACCCAGATGTCAGCTTTGTAGAAATAACTTACCCTTAACCCTCCCCACAACTTCAGAGTTTCGGTGAAGTGGAAAAGACTTTTAGCATATCATCAGAGCAAACATCTAGTTTCACATCCCACCTATACCACAAAATTAAAGCGAATTCAAGGAAAAAGGATACTAAGTTCATAAACTTGACATGTTCTCATGATAAAACACATCCATACCGATAACAGAATATTTTTACAGGAAACTCAGAGAAATTCTCATGGCATGGCCGAATGGGCTATGTTCACATTGATGATGTTGCTCGCTGCCATATACTGGTGTATGAAGATTCTACTGCTCATGGGAGGTACCTTTGCAGCTCCACTGTCCTGGATACCCATGAACTAGCAGCTCTTCTTGCTCAGCGTTATCCATCTCTGCCCGTTTCAACCAGGTTGTTTTCTAAACATTTAGAGATATTGTGAAATATTATAATTTTGATTGTTGATAGGTCATTAGAAGAACATGACAGATTGATATCACATATTGTGTTTGGTTCATAGGAAGGAAGAAAATATATTTTGGTCCCTTGAGTTTTTTAATGATTTTTCATTTAGGTTGATTGGCTGTTCCAACAGTATATATTTTCTTCAGATTTTTTTTTTTTTGAAATTAGCACTAATTAGCATCATTCGATAAATACTCTTGATTGCTTAGCTAAAAATTCAACATTCTCGACTTGTTGGCAACACATACAATTTTTTTAGATAGCGAAACATTAAAGAAAGACAAATCAATTGTCTTGAGCATTTCCAAGGGGAATATACGCAACTGATTTATTTTTTATTGCTAATTAATTATTATTATTATTATTATTATTATTATTTTCTTGTAGGTTTAAGGATCACTATGAGATGCCCGCATATGCGTTCGACACATCAAAGCTGCAAAAAATGGGCTTCCAGTTCATAGGGGTTGAAGAAATGTTTGATGACTGCGTAGAATTTCTCAAGCGACGAGGCTATATTAACTTCTGATAGTCAATGATTAACTCCATCCAGTATCAATTGTGGTTGGAGTAATCAGAACCTCTGTGTAGTCTTTCTCAAATGCAGACCATCATAGGGAATCATCATCATTTTGTCTGTGCTTTAAAAAAAAAAGCATATTAGGTCAATTTCAGTTGGTAAATAAATTGACTGGCGTCTTCTTGACTGGGCCAATAACTTTATTGAGGTACTCCAATATGTGCTAAAGCATTATAGATTGTAAGCTTTTTATAATTGTTGCCATCATTGTTAAAGTAAAAAGTGTTTTGTTGGGATGAGTATGGGAAAAGTTTATCAGACAGAAAAAAACGTAAAAAGTCATAGGTTACGAGGTCATTCTATGTTAGGGTTGTAGAAAAATCAGATACGGATTAGATATGATACACATCATCCATATCTGATTATTATCGGCAAAATGATCAAATTGGTATATTTTTTCGAGTCTTGGTGACAAGTTGGTATATTTTCTTTTAATTTTGTCAGATTGGTATATTTTCTCAACTCCGGCGCCATATAGGCCTTAAATTTGGCCGGAGTTACTGTTCCGACCACTGCTGATGGGATTTTTTGCATAAAACCCCACATTAAATACAGTTTCCTGCTCCTAACCCTCTCTCCCTCCTCCTCTTCAACCTCCCCCTCTCCCTCATCCTCTCTCCTCATCCCTCTTCCCGATCCCCTCCATCTTCTCCTCCCCCTCCCTCCTCTCCTCCTCCTCCCTCGGCCCTCTCCACCTCCGCCTCTCTATTCCAAGCTGCATTGGGGAATTTAGATCTCTAAAGCTCCTCAACTTCAGCAATTGTCAACTCTCTGGTCAACTTCCAGAATCAATCAGCAAGTTAAAAGACCTACAAAAACTAGACTTAAGTACAAATCAACTCTCGGGAGCTCTTCCACCGTGGATTGCCAATCTGAAAATGCTTAGGGAACTAATGTTGGACAACAATTCCTTCTATGAAAGCTTGACTCCATTCATTTGCCAGCTTCAAGGTCTTGTAAAGCTTTTTGTGAAAGCAAATTCCTTTTCTGGAAGTCTATCACCGAACATTGGAAATCTTCAGAACCTGGAATTTCTCGACTTGAGTAGTAATTCATTCTCCGGAGCTTTACCTCCCAACCTTGGAAATCTCACAAGGCTTCAGCATTTGAATATCAGCCAAAATGGGTTCACTGGATCGATCTTTCCTGGCATTGGAAATCTGCAGAATCTCTTAACACTTGATTTATCTACCAATAGCTTGACAAGAATCTTACCTTCAGAAATTGGCAATTTGGCAAGCCTTTAGTTGCTTTGGCTGGGACCAAATGGCTTCACTGGGAGCATTGAGAACACCATTCTCGAAATTTTCCTGCGAAATAACAAGCTTGGTGGCCAAATTCTTGGCAATAACAAGCTTGGTGGCCAAATTCTATTGGAAAACTAAGGAACCTGACAAATTTGTCACTCCATGAAAATAGATTAGCTGCATTGGGGAATCCATGGTGGAAGGAGTTGACGGCGGCGAGGACGGAGGAGGAGAGGAGAGGCGGAGGGATTTGGAGGGAGGGGAAGAGAGAGAGGGAGGCGGCGGCAGAGAATGGGTGGAGGTGGAGAGGGCCGAAGGAGGAGGAGGAGGAGAGGAGGGAGGGGGAGGAGAAGATGGAGGGGATCGGGAAGAGGGAGGAGGAGGGAGAGGATGAGGAGGATGAGGAATAGGGGGGTTTTTATGCAAAATATCAAACTTACCAGTGACTGTATTTGATGAGAGGGGGTTTTATACAAAAAATCCCATCAGCACTGGCCGGAACAGTAACTCCGGTCAAATTTAAGGCCTATATAGCACCGGAGTTGAGAAAATATACCAATCAGACAAAACTAAAAGAAAATATACCAACTTGTCACCAAGCCTTGAGAAAATATACCAATCTGGCCATTTTACCGATTATTATCATATGGATAGTCAACTGAAAATAATCTAAGGCACACAACTTTTATAAGATGAAATACAAAATTTTAAATGTCCGAAAGAAAATATCAACTATGGTGAAGTCTATCTATAAAAAACATGTGACGGCGACTATGCTGGAAGTCTGTTATCTGCGGCTCTCCGATACTCTGAGCTGCTGCAGTAAAGAAATTGGAAAATAAAAAGAGAACAAACAAAAGCGTCAGAGCGCTACAGCAAGATCATCTTCATCCGTTCCCAGGGGAAGGGTTACTAGATGTGATGAAGGTTCTATTTATTAGGCATAGTCTACCTAGATCATTTACAATGTATCTAAATGGAAATTAATATTTAGAAACCTACAACACGAGACGTAGTACGTCGAGCGAAATAATCAAAACAAGGAAACCGTTATGTATATATTATATGTCTTAAATTGTAGATAACTAAATATCAATACCGAACTAAGAATAAACAATCTAAATAGAATTAATAACTAGAAACTCACAACACGAAACTGGTACGTCGAGCAAAATAATCCAAACAAGGAAACATTCATGTATATATCATATGTCTCAAATTGTGAATCGCTAATTATCAATTCCAAACTAGGAATAATGGAAAGCAATACAAGGAAGTAAAGTCATCACAGATATCGGACCAAAAATATCTTCCACTATCCTTTGGAAGATAATATAAACGACAGTATATAATCCCGCATACCCACAAGAGTAAAGTACTTCGGTCATATACAAGATGTTCATTTAGGACTTCTCGAAGATTGCAACGCACTTACACACCTTACAAAGAAGGGTATACAGTTTGTTTGGGGACCGGAGTGCCAGAAGGCCTTTGAGACTTTAAAGGCAAAGTTGACTACAATACCAGTGTTGATCATCCCGAGCAGTGATAAGACATTTGTTGTCTACACGGATGCATCTTTGTCAGGTCTAGGAGGCGTATTGATGCAGACCCAAAGAGTGGTTGCTTACATTTCACGACAGTTGAGGACTCATGAACAGAAATTATCCAACTCACGACTTAGAGTTGGCAACGGTAGTCTTTGCACTTAAAGTGTGGAGGCATTATTTTTATGGAGTTCAATTCAAATTTTTTACAGACCATCAAAGTCTAAAATACCTCTTCACTCAGAAGAAACTCAACCAGAGGCAGCGGCGATGGGTCAAGTTTATCAAGGATTACAAATTCGTGTTTCAGTATTACCCAGGGAAGGCGAACGTCATAGCGGACGCGTTAAGCAGGAAGCGTCACCACATGATACCAGCTTTGATGTGCTCTTTGTATCGAGATCTTTACACCCTTAGCCAGTTTGATTTTAAGCCAAAGATTGGCGAGAGCAGCGTATTTTTTGGAGCTTTAGCCATATAACCATCTTGGACTGATAGAGTGGTCAGAGCTCAGCTGGAGGACTCTTGGATTCAAACCCGAAATGGGGAGATTTCCGAAGAGCTCAAGGCTGATTGGACCGTTGGAGCAGATTGAGGTTTTCGAATGAAAGGCCGATTAATAATGCCAAATAATCCACAGTTGAAGAATGACTTATTTGATGAAGCACATCACACAAAGTACACAGTGCATCGAGGCACAACTAAAATGTACAAGGACCTGAAAAGACATTTTTAGTAGAGTTGCTTGCGTAGTGAGATTGCGGAGTATGCGGCTTGTTAGACCCTAGAGGGGGGGGGGTGATTAGGGTCTTATGCTAATCTAATCTGATTAAATGCCAATTAAAATTAATTAACAAGTTATCCTAACAAGTATGAAATACCACAAGATATATGAGCTAGGATAAGCAATGTAAACAATGAGATATATCCTATATGATGAATTATATATATATGCAAGGATATATAAACTAACACAAGGGGCAAACAATATGAACTAGATAGTGGATCATATAAATAATGAGCTATGCACAATGGCGATATAAGATATGAACATAAATATAAATGAACGCCAAAGCACACTCAAACACACTATATGATCACGGAGTTCAAACCTTCCGTCCTACGTCTCCGCTCCCCACTCCCGGGGAGAAATCCACTATCACAACCGGGTTTTCTACGCTCACCCGAATAACGTTTACACCTCATGGTGTCGGTTTTCAACGCTCACCGAACAATGTTCACTACTCACACTCGGTTTTCTAGTTCACCGAAAACTTCACAACACACTCGGTTTTTTAGCTCACCGAAAATCTTACACCACTCACAATGTAACAAATATAATTTTGTTCTCTACAATAGATGAGAACACAATTAAGCATAACTCAATGTTACAATCTCTCACAACCCTAATATAAAAGTACCCTAATACAGCTAGGAAGGAACCCTAGAGGGGGGTGAATAGGGTTTATGCTAATCTAATCCGATTTATGCCAATTTAAAACTTATTAACAAATATATCCTAGCAAATGACTTATGAACAATATGTGAGCAAGGATATACAAGTTAACACAATGGTGAACAAACAAAACTAGATAGTGGGTAAAATAAACAATGAGCAATTGACAAAGGCAATATGAATAATAAGCACGAATATAAAAGTACGTCAATGCAATCACAAACAAATCATATGTTCACGAGGTTCGGTCCGCCTGACCTATGTCCCCGCTCCTCACCTCGAGGAGATCTCCACTATCACACCGGGTTTTCTACGCTTACCCGAAAAACGTTTACATCTCACAATACGGTTTTCTAGCTAACCGAAAACTTTACAATCACTCACAATGTAACTACACTAACTACCACCTCAAGTGTTGGTCTCTAGCCCGTGTCTCCCTCAAGTGTTAGGAATTATAACCTCTCTCTAGGCATTATCACCTACCCCACTCCTCTTGGGACAACCCCGTCTCTCACCACACACTCCTCTTGGTGTACTAGTGTAATACAAAGTGAATCCCCATAATTTGGCTCAATACAAATAAATTATTCTCTACAATGGATGAGAACACAATGTAGGCTCACACTCTAAGTCACATAATCCCACAACCCAAATTATACTAAGTATGAAAATACAATAAGCCCAATAGGTTGTGTGTGATCAAAGAGATAAAACAATATAAACTCAATATGAAATCTAGCTTATGAAATTAAGAGCAAACTTATAAAATGCTAGAATTGAGTTTAAGAAAACTTCTCTATAGAAAACAAGAGAGAGGGAGAAGAGTTGAATGCTCAAACACCAATAGATGATCTCCAAACACTAAACAAAACTCAAACCCTTGTTAAAACTTTGTTAAAACATTCTCTTGATTATTTTAGAAGTATGAGGGCATGGGGTATTTATAGGCTCATGAAACAACCCCAAAAACCAAGAAGAATCAAGCAAAAATACAAAAACCATCAAATCTGGAAAACTAGCCGTTATAGGCTGAAAAACACTGTTAAGTCGACTTGGGGAGAGAGTAAGTCGACTTATATATAGCCGTTGGAACAGTAACGGCAGTTCTGGAATTTTGTGTATCTGGTTTTGTAAAATCATTTAAAAATAGTAAATCAACTCTAAACATTATGAAATTTTGAGAGATGTTTCTAAACATGTAAATAAACATTTTACAAAAAGAATTTCTAAAATATCACTTCTCATTTGTGAGAAATAAATATTTAAACACAGATATTTCAGATTCTAAAAACTTCTGAAACACCCGATTTTCTAAAATCAATTTGACACAGTAAATCAACTCCAAAAATTATAAAATTTTGTGGGAAGTTTCTAAACATGTATATGAACATGTTAGAGAAATAATTTCTTAAATATAACTTCCCATTTGAGAGAAATAATTTATTTTGTAAACTGGTCAAAAATATGTAACTGTGCAACACTTCATAAGTCGACTTATATAAGTAGACTTGCTATAAGTCGACTTGCCTTGCTTGATAAGTCGAGTTAGCAGAGGAGAAAATGCACTTTCTAGAGGAGTTCATAATTCGACTTGTCAGGGTTTATAAGTTGACTTATAAACATGAACAGGCACTGTTCATGCTAGAAAACTGATTTTTAAAGTGCCTTTAAAAATAACAAATAAATTCCAAAAATTATGAAACTTTGGGAAATGTTTATAAACATGATAATAAACATGTTACAAAAAGAAATTTTGGAATTGCATTCTCCAATATTGAAAACCCATCATTTTTCAAATATGTCCAAAAACATGAAAACGAAACATACATGTTTTGACATTTGATTTAAACAAACTTTTGAAATTCTACAAAATGATTTTATAAACTTTATAAACTATGTATAAACTGATATTAAAGTCTATAAACTAATAAAACAGTGTTTTCACAAAAACACCTATATTTTGATAAAATCAACAAATACGTGTGTGTGAATAATATGAGCTTAAAGTACTTAACACACATAATATAAAACCGAAACTACATTACCCAAGCAATCTTGATCTTCAATAAGCTCAACTTAGTACACGTGCGGATGAAGCTTGAACTTGATCTTTAACTTAAATTATACGTTGCTTCACTCCACAATTCCTCCAACCTCCATTAGATATGATCGTTATGACGCAATCCATCAATCCTCCAACACATTGTTTGTCTAGAATACCTAATAAGAAACATAAACACTAGACAAACAATATTAGGAATTGTTTGTAATCATCAAAACAAGATTAGAAAATATAGGCTCATAACATGAGACCTAACATAATATACTATGTATGCAAATACAATAAGCTCAAGTGGGTGTGTGTAACAATGAGATAATATAATCAAATCT